AGATAATGTGTTGCAAGATGCACTATTTTTAGAACTCAAAATCTTTGTTTTTATACATTCATACATCTCTATATCGAGATGATCAATTAGAGGGTCTTTCAATATTAAAGCAACCTTTTTCGATGGATTTTTCAGGTGCATCTGTAATTCTACAATTTAAGGTTGCAACCTTATATAAACTTTTCCCTTTAGTTATTTATTCCAATCAATTAATTAAGTGGTTGTCTTATTGTAAGAAAAAGGAATTAAGTAGTGGTCTTAAACATTTCAAAGCAAGCGTCCTAACTTAAAATGTACTTATCTCATGGTTTGACAGATTCATAGCTATCTTTTGTTACTTACTCTTTTCAAAATGGGCAGCATGTAGGTGTGTCCCCATTTGTGTTTCTGTCTCAGTCAGTCGGGGGTCTGAAAATCCATCTTGGAGTTGACCTCGAACCTAAAAGTTTGCAGGTCTATCATCTAAACCACCGCCATCATACATATGAGAAAAACAGAAAATGAAAATGAGGTTGAGCCTTAAAATTGGTTTATTTTGTATTTTGTAGATCATTCATTTTCAATTATTAAATGATTATCCAACCTGCAATGGTCTTGATTCTCCAATTTGATGGATCTGAAGCGGAAAATGGACTTACCATAACTCGGAATGTGTGTTTCATGTCCTGAATACTTCGATTTACTTAAATTGGGGTGTGTTTTGGGTACTAAATCAAAGGGCTCGGTCGTGGTGATGGTACCTTGTATCTATTTACTATGTTGGGTTTCCAATCATACCACACATCGACACCTTCAAAAAAGCTAACTCATTAATCTATATGAAAAAACGGGTGGTAGCTTGTCGTTCACATTAAATCACCAGAAAAAAAAAAAAACAAATCCTTCGATTTACACTATAGCTTATTAGCTTTGAATCTCCAGTTCCATGGGCCTGTTTGTTTGTTTTTTTTTTACAACATATGATGTGCATTCTCCTACTTGGTGATGCTTTTTCGACAATATATGATGTGCATTCTCCTACTTGGTGATGCTAAGGCGACCCACCCTCTCTAGTGCAATGAGGGCAGCATCCCTAGGCCATCGGCCTTCTTGAACACCGGCTGTTCCATGGATCTGAAGCATAAATAAATTTACATTTACATGAAAAGGATTTAAAAACCCTCTTAGATGCATAAACAAGAATCAGAACCCTTTTAAATGCGTAAACAAGAATCAGAACCCTCTTAGATGCGGAAACAGGAATCCCAAATGTTGAATCCCACCAATATCATATATGTATCCAGCTAGAAACAAAATAGAAGAGAGCACAAGTCATAATACGAGAAATAAAGCATGAAACACATGCACCACAAGAACACAAACGTTTACGTGATTTACCTCAAGAGGGCAACATCACGGGCACGGCAAACTAAAATCCAATATATCAATGAAAGTTACATTAGAAATTTTGGGACAGAGAGTTACATGTTTAACTCTCGACAAAACCCAGTAGAGCAAACCTTTTTAGACCCAGTCTCCTGATCAGTACCATCATCAACCTCTCATCTATGTTCCACAGCTAAACCACTGTCCAAGAAGAGACCATCTCCATTCCACAGCTAAACCACTGTCCAAAATGAGAACCTCAATAGCAACAAAGACTCTGTCATGAAAAAGGGAAACCAACAAGGACTTTCTCTTGCGAAAAAGGGAAACTACCAAAAGCTTATTGAAAACCGCTTCTCTGCAAAAAAACCAATATCTCAATCTACTGGAGGCACATCGGGGCGTTTCTTTGTGCAAGAAGCTCTTCTCTCTAAGAGAGCTCTTGGCACTCATGCAAAAAAAGCCATATCTCTCTCTATAGAAGAAATCACATTTCCCATATGGTGACTTAGATAAGGCACACTAATTCTTTGCACTTTCACATCAAATAAAATTTTTTTTATAGATGTTAAATATATTTCAAGAAGCACGAGAGAGATATATATATATATATATATATATATATATCAGAGTTCTAATTTTTTGGATTTCTATTTCTTTTAAGAAAAAAAAAAAAATCAATAGCCATCCCAATCCCAAGTAATATGCGATTTGTTTATGCGGGTGATTTTGAATATCATAATATCCAACATTTGGGATTCTAAATCCTTCAAAAAGCAGATGTCTCTGGTTAAAAACACGGGACTCTGAAACTACCATTTGAGGTTCTCTAACCCAAAGAGGGGACAGGGAGGGAAGCACACTACAGGGCATTTTCCATAAAGTGGAGGACATGAGTGAGGTTCATATTCCAACGTGGTCGTTGGTCTAAATCTCAACCTAAACGCGCTTATCCAAACAGGGGACTCAAAAAATAAAAGCAGGCCTTGAATGATTAAACGGTAAAGAAAACCTAAAACACCTGAGCCTAACTTGGTTTGGATAAGATGGGTACATAAATGGGGTCAGGCCACTGTTCACCTTATTCCAGATATTCTTACGAGTATTGAGACGTTGGAGATCTGAAAGATTCAAAACTTCTCAAAATTAGGGTTAATTTCCACCTAGAATATGTATTAAAGAGAGTATAATAGTTAGAGAGGGAGGGGATAATATTTAGAGAGAGAGAGAGAGAGAGCGAGAGGATAATATAGATAGAGAAGCAATGCTGTGCAGTTTCAAAAAATTCGATGGTTATTGAAGGCATATGGGAGACAATGCAATATATCAAGAGGCTTCGGGGGAAGGGAAAGCTCGGGTAACGGGAAAACTACCGGCAAATGTGTGAAAAGTTAGAGAGAGAGAGAGAGAGTTCAGTTGTCGGTGTATCTAATTTAGTGAGATTTATGTTTAATGGGATTGGGGTTAGAGAGAAGTGAAGAGCAAGAATAGAGGCGACACGTGGGGTTAGTTTCTGGGTCACGCATTTCCAGTGGGTTGCCTCCGACGCACGGCGTCCGAGACGGCACGAGTCTGCCGTCATCCGTCCCTCGTTTTGTTCGACAAACAAACCCCGAGAGAGAGAAGAGGGGGAAGAATGTGAGTTCTCACCACACCACTACATTCTCTCTCCAACAAGGGAAACCCTAGAATGCTCGCACAAAAGATAATAAGTAAGGCTGAGGTTCGATCAAGTAAAGACGCGCCTTCAAATAATATAGTTGTTCAATCTTTGTGACAAAATTTAAAGTTTAAAAACTAGTATAAATCAAAATGCTTGAAAATTGACGGTCTACAATTACATTACGAGGTACACTGTTTTTAAAGGTCGACATTGACAGTCTCACATCTACTCACCTTGAAATCGAGATGATGGAATTGAAAAAAATTTAGACATTGAAACAAACTCTTCCAATGTATTTAGTTTTTGAGGTACGGTTAATTGTTTAGGGCCTTACCCTTACATGGGAAAAGGGTTTTCTTTACCTCATCCATGTAACCCATAGCGCTTTAATTTTCTCCTTTTCCGCTCCCTTACGTTTTTTTTTGTTAAAGTTCACGGAAGTCTTTATCTTCTTAGGAGATGAGCCACCGGCCACGCTCGCCATTATTGCCCTCTCTCTTCCCTACCTCTTTTATTGTCCTCTCTTTCAATCTCCTCTCTCTCTCTCTCTCTCCCTCCCCTGCGTTGAATTCTGATTCTTAAAAAGTTTGGACTGAAAAGCAGGCAGCTCCATAACGAGTCGTGCTGCTCCCTTACTTCCCAACCTCTGCAACCCACTAAAATAAATAAATATAGTCTCACCCATACAAATCCTCTACATTTCTGATAAAGCAGGAACTGAGGGGAAACCGACCCCAATGTAGTCATAATTAAATGGCTGTGCAGTAAATTGAAGGAAATTCATGTCATAGAGAGGGGAAAGAGCGACAACATCAAAAAAAAAAACATCCAAATAAAGATAGAGGAAGAGAGAGAGAGAGGCTCAGAAACTGGCAGTTTTATTTAATGGGGGCTAATAACTCCCGTAAAGTAATTATATAATTAACACGATTCTTACATAATCCAAAATCTCCTGCTTCTCTGGTAAAAAAGGAAACGAAAGCAGAGGAAGAGGGAACAGAAAAAACAAAAAAAAAAGTCGTTAATCCGACATTAAGACTCCCGAGTATAGAGAAAAACCTAGAAAAATGACAATTTTTTTATGGAGATAGATGGGGGTTTTATAGAGATGGATGGGGGAAGAGAAATTTTAAAAGAGAATGGAGGGGGAAGCGGTGGATATTAGAAAACTGAAAGTGTTATTGGAAAGGACTTTAATTTTCTCTCTTGGAATGGGCCGAGGATCGCTACTCTTTCCTTCGAGCCCCAATCCCAAAAAAAAAAAAAAAAAAAAAAAAAAAAAAGAAAGAAAAGAAAAAGAAAAGAAAAATGTCAATCGCCTCTCTGAGTTCGTGGGGCGAGAAAAAGAGCGCAGAGAAGAGTCTCTATAGACAAAAAGAGGAATCCCAGGAGAGAATCAGGATTTGGGGTTTGCTTCTAGAGAGAGAGAGGGTTGTTTGGAATTTTGGGGCTTTTATGTTGTATTTAGAGAGAAGGGGGCAGAGAGAGAAACTAGGATTTAGGGTTGTCATCTCTGAGAACAGAAGCCAAACCAGTAACGAGATTCTTCCCCCGCAAAGACGCCTTGGGCTTCAGAGCGGGCGGCTGCCACTCTGTAACCACCACCTTAATCTGCCCCTCTTCTTCTTTCCCTGAACTTCCACTCACTGGAACGCCCCCACTATCTCTCTCATCATTTTTCCCCTCACTCTTCTGAGAACCCACGAGCTCAAACTCAAAGTCGCCTGAAAATCCAGAACCCCATCCTGTAGAGCCAGGTTTAATGGCGACCATTACAGAGTCTGGGAATGTTTCAGCAACACATGAGCCCGATGAACCCTCGTCTTGAGGGCTTCTGAGGTAAGGGGAAAGCCATTTAGCGCGCATGTAATCTGGTTTTCTCCATGGAGGGACGTGGAGGCCCTTCTTTTTCAGGGATTGCTTTGCGGCTTCAGAGACTATGGCAACGATCTGGTGGAGGCGATCCGGGCGGCCCACGAAGATGGACGGCAGGGATTGCAGGACAGCCCCATAGTGACGGGTTGATCGTGCAATCTCAAACTCGGATTTGAAGTCTATGTCTACGATGAGGCGGTCGGGTTTAGGGTTTGGGCCGACCCCTTGTGTAACTACGTCTATGTACTCATATTCCCCTGCAATGGAAGGAGAGGAGAAAATGATTCAGCTTATTGTCTACCTCTTTCTCGCCATTATTTCCCTCTCACTGATTCAAATAGTTGCTTCAAACTGCGGAATGAATATATAGAAAAGATCTTTCACATCTACCCCCAATTTCCACAATTTTGAAGCGAGAAATACAGTGGGCTAATCCAATCCAATACTCTACTGTTTGACATCAATAAATTTAATTTGTTTTTTCTGAAAAGAGACACCTTAAAGTTTCACTTAGAAAAGAATATACATCAGAGCCCATTTTCAATTCCCGGTATTGAAGAAAAAAAAGGGGGAAAAAAAAAAAGGAATTCGGGACTAACCTGCTGGGTGAGAGGAGGATTTATGCCATATAGATTTACACACACAAGCGTCATAACCTAGGGCTTGAAGCTTGCTTGCGACTGTGCTCTTCAGGCAAGAGTTGGTGCAGTCTTCTTTACTACAGCAGATATAGCTGTTGTTCTTAGCCTGGTTCAGGCTCTCTATAATCTTTGAGGTATCAGCCAAAAGGTTCTTCTCTACTACGCTAGCACAAACCACCAGGCTCTGTGTTCCAGAAAAATAACAATCCATAAATTACAAGAGCTATTTGCTAAATTTTTTTAACCCCGATTGCCAAAAGGAAAGAAAAATCAAGTAATTGTATGATCAAATCGCAAGTAAAGATTGGGGTTTTTATCAGATTAAATCCATCAAATCAGTCAAATCTTTCTTTCTGGATGATCATCAATCGAATTTTCATTTCAATTCAAATCAAAAGATCCTCTCTTTTCAAGTCACTCATCAAGTACTGCAATTATGGTTCAATTTCCAAAAAAAATTAAATTATTAATTTCCATTAAAGAACATTTACCTTGAGAGTCTCGTATCGCTCGCTCGATAAGAGAGATGAAGCAGAGGGTTCATCGTCAAACTCATCATCGGAATCATCCCTGCAATTTCCATTGAAGCAGTTGCACCTAGAGCGACCTGGCTTCTCATTCTCCTCCATAAAGTTTTGCACCATTTTCGCCAAACAAACAGAGCTCGGCTCTGTTTCCTCATGCCCTACCTCTCGGTTTTCTCTGTTCTTAATCACCTTTGTGATAAAAGAACCAGAACCTTCTTCTTGCTCATGATGCTGCTGATCTCCCTGCTTTTCTACATTAGAACCCCAAAGAACACCAGGAAATTGGCGCTCAAAAAGCCTCTTAAGCCTTGATTTTACAACAGGCTTTGTTACAGGTTCAGGCCTGACCAATCCCATAGAACCACAGGAATCGATAGGCTGGATCTTCATAGGAAACGGCATTGATTTCTGGATCTTTAGTAGTTCTCCGAGTAACTTTTGCTTAAAGAAAGTCTAATAACTACAGTTCTACAGTTTCAGTTCCATCCAATGAACCTATACGACCGTACAAGTAAAATCTCAGGCAGAACTCCACAAAATGTAACTTGAACATGGATATTACTACAATACAACAAATGAAAGGGGAAAGTCAGGTAACAAGCATGATCTTTACACATTACTCTAACCCTTACAGAAACAAAACGCTTAAGAGGCTTTTAAGACCTAGGGTTTCACTTTCATCTCAGAGTATCTGGGTAAGGAACTAGGTAAAATGATAGTGGAACACGAGAGCAACGAGGAAGGAACAACAGAGAAGGGGAATTCAGACAAGCGGCATGATCTCCACACATATGCCGCTCCCTTAAAGGAGACAAAACCCTAACCGATGGGAAAACAAAACGTTTATAGAGAATTCGAACAAGAAACTAGGGCTTCAAAACCATTGAAGGAACTCAATACAAGGTAGATTCAGAGTACAAGAGGAAAACAGAGATAAACTCATGCAACGGGCCTAATTAATACAGAACTATCGTCTCCACAAATCACACAGAGCCGAAAACAAGTGGACATTGAAACAAAAAGCCCTCCTCCTAGGAGCATTCACAAAACATCACCATTTCTCTTCGCCACTAACTTAAATTACCAAAAATTCCGCAAAAGTTTCAGGCCGATCCTCCACATTTCTAGCCAAATCCCTCATCCTGAAACAGAATCCCTAAACTCTAACCCGATCTCCAAAACTATAAGTAAAAGCCTGCAAAAAGGAGCCCCGCCAAATCTTTAATCCTAAACAGTGACTAGGGAACCAACAAGACTGTAATTTCAGGACAAGAATAACTTGAAGCTCCGGCAAAAACTTCTTTCGCGTTAGGGTTTCAACAAAGAGAGATGCTTTTCATTAGGTTAACGCAGAAGCGAAACGGCCGGTCTAGAAAGAGGAAAGGCATGGGCGAAATGCTTGCCTGAGTCTCGACCAACACGTATCGACTCGATTCTTCACAATTTTCGCCATTTATCGCTCAATCTCTGCAACTTCGGGAAAATACCAAAAATAAAATAGAACACAGTGCTCAGGCTCTCTCTCTCCTCATTTTCTCTCTCTTCACCCTCCCTCTCTCTCTCTCCTCTGGTTGCAGGAGAATAAGAGGCAGAGAAGTTGCAGTGACGGGGGTATTTATAGGGAATGGGCACGATGCCTCATGCTGACCTGGATTCAATCTGACGTGGTCCTACGTGGGATGGATAGGAGCTCAGGTGTGTGTTGACGTGGCTCTTTGTGTGCTGGCTGAGGACACCTGTCCGTTAACCTTAGGCCCACCACCCGAGAGCTTTCGAAATTTTTCTTTTTTTTTCGAAGTTTTCGTCGAATTTAGGGGATATTTACCAATAGTCCCCGTTAATTATGACAATTCCTAAAGTTAATCTTGCTTTCCTGACAAGTAACGGTCCTTTCCTTGTCAGAGTCTACTTTTCAAAAGTCCTTTCTTTTTTAAGGAAAATCACCACGTTTCAACTTTCGCCAGATTTCTGGTGCGGCCGAAACGCAACGAACCTATGCCGAAATTTCGAATTCTCATGCCCTATTTGTAACATTTCGGATATTTCGGCCTTTTTTAAGTGAATGTAGGTCGAAAAATAAAAAGTTCATCCATAAATTTGATAACTGAAAGAGTGTGAAACGTGTTGAGCAAATCAAGGGTATTATACCAGAATATGCTCTGAATTATGAAAATAGGAGGAAATTTAAAATGGTCAAGGACGTGTGAAGAATTGTCAGATTTTTCGCGATACGCACGATATTTCCTTATTAGAAAGGCTATCGTTTCTTGAGTTTCCGTTTTCCAAATCACATTTATTGGCCTGCTCCTTCGTATTGGAGAAGAGAGGGGAGAGAATCGTCCACTCATTCAAAAAACGTAAGGTGGGCCAGGAATACTCCAGTTTGACTTGTGGATAGGTTAGGTGTTTCTTTCATATATATATATATATATATATATATATAGTTGAGTTTAGAAGAAAATTGGCAGTTGTGTAAAATAAAATATCATTTTTTTACAGTAAAATAGTGATCAAGGCCGTTGATTTACCGATATGAAGAGATTTATTATCAATTCGCGTATTTTTTCATTGATTTACTGTTTTCCGCACAATAAAATAGTGATCGGAACTGCATATTCACCTATCTAGACCTATTTTTAAGATGCCCAATCCATGCTACCGATTTGTTATTTAAATCACTGAAAAATACTAATAAGGGTGTGGTTTGCATAAGATTGCAACCTTAAACAATCCAATCAATATGTACCTCAAATTTTTATCATAAATGTAATTTTCATGTCAAAAATTATTAAAATGACTTGATAATCTATTTTTATATTTAATTATATAATTTTAAACTCTAAAAATGTTTCAAATCAAATAGATTTATAAACACATAAAAATCTCGAAGTTGGATGGTCGATAATGTGTTGTAAGATACATTAGAGCTATCTATTATGTGGGAGAACAATATAGGATAAGTTTGATATTTCTGATGTCGGAATTACCTAAAGTTGGATACTAAGTTGTTAATAAAATCCGATGGCCAAACAATAATTGTGGTCGGACCGATTTTTTAAAGAAGGTATGATACACATAATATCAAACTAATATTATGGAATTCATGTTTGCGATATTGGACTAATATAATATTAAACTATCGATCTAATATTTATACCGCATGTTAAAAAGACAGTCCAATATTACGGCCATCAAACAAACAAATAAATTGTATACAATGAGATCATTTACGTTTGATGCAAGATAGTCAAAATTCTTTAGATATGAAATTTGAAAGCTTTTATATGTTCCAAAGTTGAAAAAAAAAATTTAAAAAATTTGAGCTTGGTCAATGCAATAACTATAACCATCTAATTTCACATCGAAATTAATGTGAACCGCTTTGGTTGGGAAGGTATTATTAAAACAACCCTATATTTAAAAACTATAAAAAGTAAAATCGACGACATCGTAAAAGTTTGTATAAACATAATCGCCGCGTAAAGTCGTACGGAGTGAGTGAGGGAGTAAGAATTTAAGATGGAAAAGAGGTGTTAATTGTGGTGCATGGAGAGAGAGAGAGAGGATAAGGGTCTGGTGTGTTGTGTCACAGCGATGGCACGTGCCGTGAGGATGGGCTTCGCGGCGGGGCCCGTGAAAATGGCGCGTCGCCCTCACAATCATAGCCCCACTGCGCCTCGTCTCACTCGTGTAACACCTGGACAAGCCGCAACGACTCCAAAATTTCACTGAAACTTGGGACGATATATCAACGAAAGACGTAGACTCCTGCTTCGCCAATTTCGGCCCTTCGGAACTACTGTCGCCTTTCAAAGTTCAACCCTTTTTTCTTTTAATTCTTCCACCCAGAATACGGGTGGCGATACTGGAATGTGTTTGGTTGATTCTTTACCAAATTCACTCATCCTCCCTCCCACTTCCAATTTTATTGTCCCTGAAATTTTGGCTAACTATGCCAAAGATGAAATTCTAGGGCTAAAAACCATTTAGCATACCTAAAATATATATTTTTATTCTTAATTATAAATTTTTAACTATAAAAAGTAGAGTAAATAGAGTGGATCTATACATCTTAAAATTTGGAAAATAGACTAGAAAATATGTTAAAATGAATAGTATTTTTGGGACATGAAATTGGATTTTTATGAATCTCCACAATGATCAATTATATGGTTTTTGGATGCTACAACAATGCTACCATCTTATACCCATCCACCAATTCCTATTTAGCTATCGGAAACGAAAAATGCTTCTTACCTCCTAGTGGTTTTTTTTACTATCCCAAACCCAAAACATGGATGGGGAGTAAAAATTTTTCCCCTTATACAGATGCACCTCCGGTCTCATGCTAACCTAGTGCGACAATACCATTGTTTGACTACTCGGTACTTGGGCTCACCACTTTGGCGGGCCCGAGTTTTTCTAAGTTGGGTAACTCACTTGGGGTTATTTAACAAATCATAAAAAAAAACTATTAAGAAATAAATAATTATTTTTTGTTCTTTGAATTTCAAAACGAGTGATTGTAAGAGTATCATTGAATAGGTACAAAGTTTCGAAAAAAAAAAAAATATCACCCCAAACCATCCAATTTAACATTTAATGAATGTGAATGATTGTGACTTTCATGTACAAGTTTTTTTTATGTTGCCGATATTATGAGTCAACGCGCCAGGTGGTTCATCTTGGAAAGGCCAATCGATTGGTTGGTTTATCTTGATAAGATTTTATTTTGTGGTTTCCAAAGTTCGGATGAGCCAATTTAAGGAAAAGAATGGCATCTTTTGATGTAATTCTAGATGGTGGATAAATTTTATATAAAGGGTGACGCTCTAAACAATCAAATTAAGTCATACCTCGAAAAATCAATAGAAGAGGTGGTTCTGACGTGCAAAAGTCCTTAAATCGATCATCTCGACCTTAATATGTATGAACATGAGAAAAATAGATTTCAAGTCTTGAAAATAGTACATCTTGTAATGCATTTTTTTTAGTGTCAATTTTCAAGATTATCAAGTATTCATAGATATGCTCGATTTGCACTATTTTTTAAGCTTTAAATTTTATAATTAAAAATAAAAAATATATTTTCATGCCATCAGAAAGATTTACAGTACTGCAGTAGCATCTTTCAATACGATTTCAAAGTGCACCTTACTTTGACTGTGTACGGCCTCAACCTTATACAAACCACACCCCTAGGTATTTTCTTAATTCTCTATTGCAACATAATTTTTACTCCCATAAAAAAGTATGAAATGATAATGTTTGAGGTAAACTTAACCAAAAAAAAAAAAAAAGGATGGATGTGAAATAACATGAAAAATCTGGCATATATCACCCTAAATAAGATTTAAATGATTCGTGTGAGACTTTTGGTTTTTTAATTGAATGCCAAACCGGTTATTTATTGACTTAGTTTTTAGTTTTTGTATTTTTTTGTCGTTAATAGCAGGAGAAATAATGGACGGGCCCAATATTGGATAAGCCATGGAATAATTATTGGAGAGAGGAGGAAAGGTTTTAATAACCAAAAACCAAGTCTTTTTCATGGAGACTTGAACGGTTGGCAATCAAGGAGTGTCCTTGTCAATCTACAATCGACATTATTCATAACCTACATCCATTTGTTCTTAATGTGAATGGTTAAAAGTATTTTAGTAAAGGAAAAAATTTATATAAGCGTGATGCCCTAAACGATCAAATTAAGATGCGCACATCAAAAATTTACTAAAAGAGGTCATTTCGATGCTAAAAAATACTCAAATATATCATCTCGACAATAAGATATATGTACATGAGAAAAAATAGATTTCAAGTATTGAAAATAGTGCATCTTATAATTTATTTTTTAGACGGTCAGTTTTCAAAATTTTCAAGTGTCATTACTTTTTTTAAGTTTTAAATTTTATAATTAGAGATGAAAATAAATTTTTATACCATAACAAAGCTTTTTAGTATTAAAACAATAACTTTCAATACTATTTGAAAGTGCGTCTTAATTTGATTGTTTAGGACCTCGACCTCATACAAACCACACCGTTTAGTAGATGGAGTAGTATTAGTTCGGCAATGCTTCATGATAAGGCCACAACACTAAATCCAACTAAAAATTTGAAGCTTTCACCATGAAACACGTGTGATAGCCTTCTTAATGAGTAATGATCCTAGACCTTCCCACACCCATGTATATAAGAACATCATTAAATTTGGCATAGATCACTAAAATAGTTATCATATAGGTGTGGGACTTGACTGTTTTAAATATCTGTGTCAAATTTAAAGGCGATCATTTGAAATTCTATACACATAGATGTGGGAAGGTCTCATAGGATCATTACTCATTCTTAATTCAGATTAATAGGATCATTAGTCATTCCTAATTCAGATTAATTAAAATTTTAGATGTAATACTGATCTCACACACTTGTCAATTAAATAGATATTCCTAAAAGTGAGGTGCAAGATATATTTAGGGTTTGAAATTTTTTTAAACATGGTTTGCGGTCGAAATAATCGATTTGCATATTTTTTCGTGTTGCAATTTCATCAAGA